TAGTTTTAATCCTAAATGGAAAACTTTTAGATTTATTTTGTCTACTTCTGTTCAGGGTCAGAGGTTCATTTAATTAATTAAACATTATAGTTTACGCATAATCCAGTTAAAGATTCAGTTCCCAGATTATTTAAATATAATTTCAGTAATTGATAAATCACCATTAATCTGGTGAACTAATGCGATCATGTCTCTGAGTGGGAACAGTTTTATTCTAGCTTATCACTTAGCCAGTATTCAAACAGGCAGCATCATGTTTAGCAAAGAAGAATATTACATTATATGCGAGTGCATGAGGGGCCTCACCTTTGGAGCCTCTACAGCGGTGTATGTGGCCCCTGGGGGAACCTGGTAGCCCTCTGTGTAGAGTTTAAAATGATGGATCAGGGATTCCATGGATGTCTGAAAGGAACAGAAGGTCACTTAAATCATATAGAAGTATTAGAAACCCTGAACCGTCCAGTTTTTGCTCTGACTGTGTGAGAAATGAACAGAATGCTGCAGAGAAGAAAAGCCATCTGCTTCTCCTACCTTCATCTCAGACCTCTTAGGTGGAGCCACTTTGGCATCGTCCACCTTTATCTCTCCCTCTGGCATTTTGTTGAGCGCCTGCAGCATGATTCTCAGCGACTGCCTCATCTCCTCCACCCTGCACAGATACCTGGATGCACGCAAACAGAAAACCTCAGTATAAAATGGTAACAACTTTTTCTTTTTTAAGCTCCAACAAAACGAAAACAAGTTTTCTGGTCTTTTGCAATGAACGCCACCCGTTACCTGTCATAGCAGTCTCCGTTGGTTCCAATAGGGACGTCGAACTCCACCTCGTCATATTTGTCGTACGGCTGGGACTTCCTCAGGTCCCACTTGATTCCTGATCCACGCAGCATCACCCCGCTGATAGATGCACAAGAAAAGTCAGAACTGCTGCCAAAGCCAGTCACACCATGACCATTTAGCCTGACATCCCAGAATCTCCTAAAACGCTGCCATACGCTGAACTTTCTATGTATTCTTCCACTTTTTAGGTGTATGCATAGAGTATTCATAACGAGTCCAGAGTGTACGTCCAACGACAGCCTAACTTATGCATAACAGCGTAATGTCTATGAAATGTCACAAGCCAGGGTCCTGATGGGGGAAGCAATGCGCCCGGAAGCAACGGCCTGTATAAAAAGATTTATTTGATCGCGGTATTAACCTTGCTGCAGTTTACCGCCCGTAAACCCGCCCAAACCAGGCGGAAACACCAATTGTTAAATGAGGAAGTTATGTCCCCTTAAAGTCAGTTGCGCATCGGGACTTCCCGACCGGATCTTTTTTCTGGGAGCAAGTTGTTTACTACTCTTGACTCAAACTGGGTAAAACCATGAAAAATGGACTATAAAACAGGAGTAAAAAAGTTTATTCCAGATCAGGTTGTCACAGGACAGAGAAAAATGCTTGGAGCTTACACAGCTGTGGGCTCAAAAATCACGTCCGCGAGCGTCCGGCAAAGATTGAGCCCCGAACAAGGTCCTCCACTGCTTCTTGTACCTCATGTGTCTAAGTGTTGCATCAGGTGGATGCTTAGCTGTCCGTATCAGAAACTGACACGCCATCCATGCCCTGACCCATATGCGTCTTGCCTCTATGCCTCAGGATTACAGATAGCTCTCCTCTATCAGTCCGGCTCCAAGATGTACCCATATCCTGTGTATCATTAAAAGACAAGAAGGCTGTCCTATTTAGATGACCTCCGTACACACACTGATTTTAGGTATCTAATTGTTGTCATACGTAAAGTGTAAGTTACTCATAAGTCGTGTTGTCTAGCTCATAACTTATAAGTAACTTGTGCATAACTTATACGTTTTTCATACATCAGTTATACGCTGTCTAAATTGTCAAGGTGTGACAGGAGCTTAACACTACCTTGTAATCACCAGCAAAAGACCGATACATCACTGAACAATATTTTTGGCCAAGCTTAGGGTTCTTTTTTTCTTGTATCAGTATCAGCAGATTAGTGCATAAAGTTTGCC